TCTTGACTAGTACCTTTACATATTATAAGATTAACATGCTTTCTTGTTAGAATACACTGAATCTTCTGCATATTTTGTGTGATCAGCATATCCCTCCAAGATTGAAAGGGAGGTTCTATAAAATAACTACCAGACCAGCTGTTCTTTATGGCATAGAATTTTGGGAAACTAAGAAACAACATAATGCATCAAGTGAGTGTGGCGGAAATGGGAATGCTGAGACAAATGTGCAGGAAAACAAGATAGGATATAATTAGAAATGAGCACATTCTTGAGTGCTTGGAGTAGAACCAATTGGAGATACAATGAGAGATTGCTGATTGAGATGGTTTGGTCATGTACAAAGAAGACTATTAAGTGTGCCGGTTAGGAAGTGTAACATGGTCCACATTGAGTTGTTAGGGGAAGGAGAAGACCAAAGTTTGCGCGGGTAGGTAGTGTTCATAAGTATGAATATGATAGTATGTGGTTTAATTTATGCCATGTCCTCTGATAGTGTTGAATGGAAAACTATGATTCATGTGACTGACCCCAAGAAATTGGGAAAAAGACTTTGTTGAGTTGAGTTACGCCCTGAGCATGATGAGAATGACCTGATAATTTCAGATTTAGCCTTGCATCATACTCAGTGAAAATGCCCCTCGGTAAAAGAACTAAAATTACTATCCTTATTATTGAAGCTAGTTGCTGTTGGTTGAGGTCTACCTTAACAAGGCTTGGTACCATCTTATTTATTAGGAGAATACATCCTCAATGGAATTGCCATTTAGCGTGAGTTATTGTTGTTTAATGCCAAATGTTAGGTCAGTATCTTGTTTAGTCCTCCTAGCACCCTGTGTTGTATTACAAGATCAAGAGGAACTACAGGTAAATGACCCTAAGGCCTTTGCTTGTTGAATAAAAATAAGGTCTTGCAAAGGATCAATCTAGATATTGAGAGCTCTAGTCCAGGTTTCTTAAGGTTTCAAATGTCTTGATCTTATTTAGTTTAAGGGGCAATAAGGCACGGTCTTTCACAGTTTAAGGGTCCACCCTCGAGTAATGGGGACTACACTCAATAACGCTTATGGTGTTTTCTTGTTGTTGAATAGAAATTGAAGGCATTGCACGTAATGTAGTGGGAATATCATGTGGTTTAAATCAAGTGAGGTCAAGACTAAGGTCGCCATAAACTCCATGATGTTAGGGTGTTGCCAAGGGTTGGTCTAGATATTGAGAGGTCTAGCCAGTGTTCTCAAGGTTTCAAATACGGCATGGTCTTATTTAGCATACAGGTTTATTCTTGTCTCTGGTCTAGCATGGGTCTATTTATACTTCACGGCTGAGGGGGTAAGGCGGTGCCGCAGTGCTCGCTCCATGCAGGGCTTTGATGAGGTCGTGCTACATACTCTACCATGGCCCAATGGATGGGGCCACGTGGATTGATGACCAACAAATTTGGGATGTGGTATGGGCGTCATTGCAGGCATAGGTAGGGATGACAATTTGTCCTGATCTGGCATGTCTGTCTCGCCCCTAATGGGACGGATATGGTGCGTCATTAAATGGTTTAGGACGGGTATGGGATAGATATGTTGAACCCGGACCGGTTCAGGGCAGGGACGGGTTTGTATGTGCCCCGCCCCGATTACATTACAAATTGTCAGCTTTGCCCTATTAGAGCTTTTTATACCCAAAAAAAAAAAAATGAAGAGGGGTAGCTGCTCTCATGTCTCACTCACTGATACAATTCTCTCTCTCTAATGGTAATCGATCACACCCAACTTCACCAAATGAATAATCCCCAACACTGCTTTTTCTCATGAATATTTTCAAAAGAATTTCTCAACGAGATCGGCTACTTCTTCGGCGGTTGGCTGTTGGTGATGGTAAGCTAGAGTTCTCTCTCTCACTATCTATAGTATTTACATATATACACAATTATACATAGGGATTATGTTATATTTTATTTATATATATACAATCTTTGTAACTTTTTGGTTGTCTCACAATCTAATCTCTCTTCATTTCAAAATTTTCAGATGTTGAGGGGGCGGGGATGGGTTTTGAGCTCCATTCATGCGGTGGGGATGGGATAATAATTTTGAACCTGTCCCGGCTATGGGACGGGTATTGGATCGGGATTTATAAACTGGGCGGGGTAGAGTTTAAGGCAACCCGTCCCAAACCCATCCCATTGCCATCGCCAGGCATAGGGGTAGTTGGTGCTGGTTAGGGTGCTATCGAGGCAATCAGCGTCTCAGGCAAGTTGCATTGTGGCTCATTAAGATGCCCTCATTTGCCAATGGGGTTGGTTGTTTTTATGATGTGGTTGCATGTGTTGGATGTTGTCCGATACAAGTGTCATCACATAATTGAGGGTATTTGTCGTTTCGTTTGGGAGAAATAATGTGATCTCTTTTATTTAAGTTGAGGTGTGGACAGAGACTGCTGAGCTGTGGAGTTCAGCGTTCACCCATGCACTATAATCACACAGGAGGTTTGACATGTGTGCATACCTCAAGGTGTGCTATGAGATAGCCATGCACTTGCTGTTTAAGCCCTTTGAATCCTACTTCCATGCATGCCTTCTTGGGCCCCTTGATCATGCAGAGATTTCTGGTACATTTTGAACCAAATGCAAGTCTCTTTGGGTCCTTCAATGCAGAGCAAAGTAATTAATTAAAATGGAAGATTGATGCTTTGAATTTCGATGCTTTGTATGAATCACTACCTATTAAGAAAAGGACGAAAATGGAGCTAACATTTGCAGATTCTTCTCTACTAGGGCTATGTCGAATCAAAGCATAAAGCAGAGTGTTCCCATAAAGCAATTTCCCTTCCCTTGTACGAAGAAGCAGCTTCATGAAAAGCTTTGTGATATGTGTAACTTATGCTAATTTTCTGAATGTGGGTGTACCATATTTGCAAAAAATTGAATTACAAAAGTGAGTTGCCATAAAATGATCTGGAAAAGCTTTGTGATAGTGTAACTGTAAGTTAATTATCTCAAAAAAAGAAAATTGTTTGGATGTTACAAAAAGTGAGTTGCCATAAAATGACTAATTTTATAACACAGATTTTAAACTTGCCTCTTTTACTTTACCGAAGATATATGCTTTGTTTAGTTGAAAGAATGGAAACGAGGGATGAAGCATCCATCATTTTTGGCTCACATTTTTTCTCTTTCCTTCCATTCCTCTGGTATTGGATGGAAAAGAGGAGGAATTGCTCCATAAATATGAAAAATTACTTTGGTAAAACCCTACTAATCTGGAATGTATTAATGTGTATAGTGAGAGTATGCGGATAAAAAATATATAGAAATTTTTTCCTTTTCTTTCCATCAAAAATGAAATATCACTCATAAAAAGATAAAAATTTTCCTTTCCTTCTAACCAAATTATGAAATGTTTTCCCTCAAAACCAATTTCCTTCCTTCTTTTCAAATTTTCATTTCTTCTAAAATGGAGCACGAATTTCCACGAGAATTTGGTCAATGAATCACGAGCGTGTGCTCTTGACACCCATCTTTCTATTTTTAACTGATAATTATGGTTCAATTCTTTTGTTTAATTTGGTTTTTGTACCTTTTTATTTTGTCTTTATTGCATTTTCTACTGTTTTGCTTCCTTTTACTAAATTTGTCCCTCCTTTCAACTATAATCAAAAGTACGTAATTATTAAGTTTCGTACTTGAAGGAAAAAAAATTATTTTCACATTGACATTGTTAACACTTTATATTTGCAAGCAATAGTTTTTTTTTTAAAAAAAAAAAAAAAAAAAAAAAAAAAAAAAAAAAAAAATCAATCATATCATGTATTGTTTACTTTTTAGAAAAAAAGTATTCTAACTTAGACAGAAATATTAGAAACCGACTTGCGACTTACAATTTCAACTACAAAAGAAAGATCCAAGTATAACTCTCTCAACAAAATGTTTTTTTTCAATAGATCTGTGAAAACTATAATAAGTATTTTTCATAATTAAATTATTTTTTAATTTATTTTGTAATAATATTATTTTAAACATTTTATTACTAATTTTACAATAATATATTTTAATTAAGGAATGAGTGTAATTATCTTTATAAAAAATAAAAAAAGGACATAATTAACTCATGAAAAAGTATTACCTAAAATATTTAAGATTTCAAATTTTAGCTTCATTCAAATTTTGTAATCATTAAAAGTTTTTCAAAATAAAAAGTGCTTTTAACGGGCATAGAAGCAAATCCATGTTTCCGTTGAATTATTATTATTATTTTTTGAATTTTTAAAAAGGTATTTTCCTTACAACTCGTGATAGGATTGAATTAACAAAAAAATAAAATAAATTTTGAGACAATTGCATTGCGTTGAATGTAAATTTTAAGAGAAATTTATGTAAATAGAATAATCTCATATATCGATAGCAGAAAATTGTTGCTTTGAAAATTCGACCATCCTTTTTTCTTGTAATTCTCACTTGAAGCCCATTGGTTCTTCTTTTAAACGTAAAAATGGATCAGTGTGTGATTTGTAAAATTCTCAGGGTGTTAAATTTAAACTGTACAAAGTTTTAGGGTTAAATAAAGAATAAAAAAATTTGAGTTTCTTAATAAAATAAATAAAGATTTTTTGGACAAATGTTACACTACCTCAGTCCCAAAAAAAGTGTCGTTAATGGAGAACTGTGTCAGTTCAATTTGTAAGAGTCATGAGTTCTCTAAAAATAATACTTTTTATGGGACGGGAGGGAGGGTAACTTATACTCCGTAATATACACACACACACAGATATACAGGCCCTGTTTGGCATCGGATGTGATATTGTTTTAATGGTTTTGATATCTGAATTTGGGCCCAAATCGTGTTTGGGGTGGCCCAATGTGTTTTAAACAGAACCAAAATTGTTATGAATATTTGGGCAAAACCCATATCGTGATATTGGGTGTTATGGGCACTGTAACGCCATATCAAGGCCCAAACCAAAAACATACTTACACCAAATTTTAAAACCTCATTTTTGCCTCCCGTTTCTCTCTCCTCTCGCGGGAGGCGACTGAAGGCAATTCCACTAAAACCCGGTTGTGAGCTCTCGATTGTGTTTGTGGTTGATAGACCTACATACTTTTCTGCAATCCCGTTGATGTTTGCTCTCGACCGTGTCTGTTCTCTGACCCGTGTGAAGCGTATTTTCTACACAAACCCTAGTCTTCGAACATTTTCCTCCGTTTCTTCCTCTCGATCGTGTCTGTTCTCTCAGGTGTGTAAGGCGATTCAAAGCCCCTAGTTCGTGGTTGCTAGAGGGAGGATCTCACGTTTCGTCTCTTTTTGTCTGATTTCTCAGCTTCAGCAAAAGCTTCTGACCCCCACGGTATGTATGTGCGTCTATATGATTTTGTGTGTCTGTTTCTGTAGTTCCGTTTCTTCCTCTCGATCGTGTCTGTTCTCTCAGGTGTGTAAGGCGATTCAAAGCCTCTTCCACCGAAACCCTAGCTCGTGGTCGCTAGAGGGAGGATCTCAGGTTTCGTCTCTTTTTCTCAGCAAAAGCTTCTGAACCCCACGGTATGTATGTGCGTCTATATGATTTTGTGTGTGTGTTGTGTTTTTCCTCTGTAGTTCCGAAAAGATGAGCGAAACTATACAAAAATTTCATGTAATTTTAAAGGCCTAGATTATAGATCTTGCCTAAGGCCTCAACATATGCCCTGCGTACATGATGAGTTTAGAATGTAATTTACAATTATCAATGACATCATTGAATCTTCTTTTGTTTTCTTTGTTATTGTTTATAGAAGTCACTTAACATTATAGAACTCAGTAAATGGAACGCACAAATATACAATTTGCGTAGATGCACAAATATAACTAAATGAAACGCTGCTTTAAAAAGAAAATTTCATGAAGTAAATTTTGAGGAATTTTCAGGAAGTAAATTTTGATGATCCAAAGAAATATTGGCCGAAAAGGCAAAATATTAGAAAGGAAAACTTTCTGTGCAAACACAAAAAGGTTCTTTTGTCAACATGTAGCATTGTAGCTTGAATCAATGAAGCTTCAAATCCATGATTTTTTTTTTCTTCTCTCTTCTGGTTTATAAAAAACACCAAAAATCAAACTGATATGCATTTCATGGGAAATTATATAAAGATGTGTTGTTCCTGTGGATGCGTGGAATCTCTACTGTGCACCCACTGGATGATGGAAATTGGACATGTGTGGTGTAATTTTTGGTAGTATTGAGTCATTTTTTCATGTGTTGTTGAGTTCAGCTGTGGTACTTGGTTGGTCTACTCTATTAGCTACTGTGTAAACACTGAGTTTGATAAAAGGTAACATAAATATGACTAAATTTGGTCTATTTTATTTTTTTGGTATAAATAGTTGTCCTAATTCTAATTCTTGTCATTTCTTCCTGTGTTGGTGTTGAGTTCAAAATTTTTCTATTTTGTGCTACTCTCCAATGTTGCTGGAATGTTACCCTCTATGCAAGGTTGTTGATGCATGCTGCTACTACATTGGTGCTACTCTCCAATGTTGATGGAATGCTACACTCACATATTAGTGCACAATCTATGGTTTACAGATTAGTGCACAATGTATGGTTCATTTAAATTAGATTTCTATAGTCTAGCCAATGTATTTTTCATATTAGTGCACATGCAACCAATAGTAATTTTCAGATTTGTGCACATTGATAATTTTTTAACAATGTAATTTGTGCACATTACCAAACCTGGGTTGAGTATACAAAGATTCCAAAAAATTGGATAATGAGGTACTACAATTAGGTAATGCAAAGAAAAAATTGTTAAGTGTAGGAAAATCTATTGCATGATGGTCACACACTTGCACATAATATGAGTCTTCCACTGTTAGCACTACCATGTAAGTTCAATATGGAAATTAAGAATCCTCTCATAAATATATTGTCCCAACAATGAACAAGAGTGTTGGGAAATTAATATATCACATATTACCAAGGCAACTGAGCAAGGCATCAAAATGTTGGTTTTAACACCGTAATAGCATTATAAAAAGTGACTATTTAAATTAAATCTCTAACAATAATCATATATAACGGAGATGGGTTAAATACAAAGTTACTCTATTAGAAAACTAATGGTTAGAGACCTTTTAAAGTACATATAATTTTATTGTAAGTATTAATGAAAGAAAAAAATTATAAAATTTTCCAAGATTTTATTTATTTTTTTACAGAATATCTTAAACCAAATAAAAATGGACTATAATTGTATTAGTATATATTTAATTTTTCAAACCATAAACAAAATAGCCCTTAACCAAATATGTTTCTTGTTATTGATTCATAAATTTTGACAACAAAAGGACTTTCCAAACGTGTTTTGTTTTCGGATTTCCTGAAACACAAGACCTTTCCAAACGTGTTTTGCTATTTCTAATAGTTAATCTCTCTCATCTTTGTTCCCCCTCTCTCTCTCACACACACAAACACACAACGTACTCTCTCTTCTCTTGCTATATATGACGAAACACACACACACACACACACATGACCAACTTGCTTAATATGCATGTGGCAAATTTGCAGAAGAGGTGTGTAATTTGGGGACTGTATTGGATCTTTGGTTATGAATTGATTTTTCAAACAAGACTTACCCTGTGTACATTTAATGTGTACATTTAAAGTGTTATACAAGAACTAGAGTGTGTGTGTGTGTGTGTGTGTATAAGCCCTTTTAATAGGACACTTAGTTACTAAGGAGTCTTCTTTGCATAAAAGTCCCTTTCGTTTTGGCTTTACATTAATGAAATTTAACTTGAAGTGAATATTAAAATAAGGTTTTCAGTATTAAAGATTGGATTAGCTTAAATTGTATACAAAGCAATTACAACCAGTGATTTAAAACTATTTGGTACATGGACAAATTTATTTTTTTAATTGAATTGTATAATTTTATTGGCCTTTACATATTTCTGTCACCATGAACAAGCACCTACTTTTCTCTCTGTCTCTGGGCATTTCATTTTCTCTCGCTGGATTTTTTGAATGGCAATACTTGCTTATATAGGAGTGCAAAGTCAACATGTATCAGAAAGGATTGATGGAGCAGGACTTGAGCAAGCTAAATCCACTCTCACCTGAAGTTATTTCTCATCAGGCTACCATAAATATTGGTAATCATCGTTACTATGAATGTCTGAACTGCCTTTTACCACTCGTGCAATAATACATCTCTGTGTTGAGGTTTAGTGATTTCTAATCCTTATGACTCCACTAACATCAAGTTGGTGAAGATTAAGGTCAACAATCCTATAGTTGACACTAACACATTGGAACCAATTATCTTTTATCAGTTACTACTGGTCACGTGGCACATGGTAAATCGACGCTGGTGAAAGCGATATCTGGCATACAGGTGACTGCTTTTCTAGCTTACTTCTGATACTGCATGTTCTTTACAGTGCCATTTTTTAAAAAAGGGAAAAGAATAAGAATATGCATTCATGAAGTTTTAGCCCCATTATTGAATTATTGGATTAGGTCTTAGAAAATAATTGAAGATATCATTTATGCATTACTTATTTCATTTCATTCAATTGTAGCCCCATTAATTAGAATTCCATGCCTGGTGGTTCTATGGAAGTAGCTTCTCTAATGCTTGCTCGGGTGCAAATTAAACCATAAGGAGTGGGTTCTCTGGCTAATTTAGTACTAGGTGACAGAATTCATTCTAGTCACAAGTTGCGGACTTGTATTTATTAGAAACATAGAACTATTGAGAATAAGAATATGCATGAGTTCTAGGAGAGAGCTAATAAACCAACATATGAGTATTATTTCTACTATTGAATGTTAGAACTATCTAGTCATCTTTGGATGTTGTTATAGTCATTAACTTGATGAACTACATACATAACCTTTGGTATCATATTTCTTGTTTTTCTTTGTTTTATTTCCTTACATAATCTATAACTACAACTAAGGTTGTTTTTCATCTAAGTAATGTGTTTGTGTGCCTGAGTGCGAGCAATTATGGCTTTTTTTATCTATACATCAACTGCATAACTTTATTTTTTTTTTAAGATTTCATTAAAAAGCATCAAGGCTAGTACAGGTTTATCAATGCCAAAGTTCCTTCGCTCTTCAACACTTGGACTCTAGAGTAAATATAGTTCTTCCTTATATAACAACTCGATTTTCTGTTCTAATTTTATTTCAACCTCCATTTCTGAGACAATATTGCACTCAGGACCATACAAAATAGCAATTTTTTTAACCTAGTTGACACTCACACGCACCGCCCACTGCCCACCGCCCTCCCCCCCTCAAGGAATTGTTTGCACCTTGGCAATTCTTAGCTTTGGGTTTATCATAACCATCATCGCTTTCTCATAGACATGGAATGTAAATATATCAATTTAAGATTTCATTACAACTATACTATAAGTCGGCCAAGAACATTTTTTTTGGTAGCTTCTTTTCTTTTCAAATAAATATGGAATTTAGGCAGTGCAACATTAATATTTCATTGCAACTACGTTATTATCCTCGTTTAGACAAGTTGTGGCCGTATTGTAGAATTTCTGAAATCTGCTTGACAATGTATTTGTTATCTACACATGACAATATAATTTCTAGTATAAAATTTAACTTTAAAATTATAGAGTTATAGTGGGATTCATTGCTGAAGTTCTCCATTATTAGTTCTCTTTTTTTGTTGAGTTCTTGGGAGAAATTGTAAATCCATAGATGAGATTCTTGATTTTTTGGACTGTTTGAGAGTCTAGAGGCCCTATTAGGTCTTGTGTTTTATGTGGGATGCGTTCCCCTTTTGAATGCTTTTTAATACATCTTTACTTATAAAAAAGGAAAGCTCAACAGCAATGACTTTTTTTGATAAGTATTGTCGTTGAACTTTGATTGTTGCTATACTAGTCGGGGTCCACTGAACATGGTAGGTGCGCTATTATTTCATGCTTGTACCATCGAGTGAAGCATAGCTGAATTGACAAGGTATTTTTAGGTATAATTGTGGCTGTGCCTCTTTCATTGTGTTAGGAACCCTTTCTAGGTAATTTGGAAGAAATAGTTATTACTTATTAGACTTACTTAAGTCTTGAACTCTGATATTCAATGAGGTTGAGCTCCTTGATTGTGAGATGAGCACTATGAATCTTTCTATGTACCTGAGATTATATAGACAAAAATTGTTGGCCTCATTGTTTGAATTATCAGATTTCGTTTTTAACAAAATTGAAACTACTCCATGATGAACGAGGCATTAAGGCTCTTCTCAAAATGACCATCTGAATAAAAAGAACTGAGAGCTCCCATCACCTCTGTCTTCACCAACTCCTAATTTTGTTGGAAAAAAGCCCAAGTCAACCCTTTCGGTCCCTCTTTGTCACCATCGCAACTCCTCAAAGCCTCCAACACCTCTTCCACCCCAAATGGCCTCTCAAGCCAATCTCTATCATCCCTTAGATTACTGCAAACTCAAGCCCATCAAGTAGAGGTATCCAGTTAGCTGTCTCTGTGAATAGTTGCTGATAAAAAGACACAAAACCAGCCTGAATCCTCTAATAAAAAAAACAAAAAAAAAAAAAACAGCCTGAGCATCCTCTTCCCTGGTCACCATATTCCCATCAATACAAATCCTTCCAATATGATTTCCTCTTCTATGGATGTTTGCAAAGCGATGGAAGAATCTCGTATTCCGATAATCTTCTTAGCACTCTAGATTTCTGCCACCACAAGATCTCCACCATCACCACAATTTCTCCAAACTCAGGCGTGCACTCCTCCCTCCTACTTACCTCCATGTCGCTAAGGCCCCCCTCTCCCTCCTTCCTATCCAGCTTAGAGATTTCAAGGAGGATTCTGTTGTTGCGCCATTTCAGATTGCCAAGCACACTTGTTCCACTTCTTAATGTCTCCCTTAATCAACCTAATTTTGGTAGCTAGAATAGAACTCAGGCTGCCCCTAACCTCATAGCTAGTCCACCAGGTTCAAACCCTCTCTTTGAAGTCCTCTACTCGAAGCCGCATATTCTCAAATCGGAACAGGGTTCCCCCTCTCCTAACCCCTTCGCAATCAAGGAGAATAGGAATATGATCCAAAATCACTCGAGCCAAAGCCACCTGAGATACATTAGGGAACTTCTCCTCCAAGCCTCCAGAAATAAAAAATCTATCCAAGCAAGACAGCATAGGGGATTCCCTACCACTGGACCATGTGAACTGCCCTCCCTCCATCGGAAGATCAAGAAGATGATGAGAGTCGATGAAATCCGAGAACTCTTTCACGGCCGGAGTCCAACTTCGTCTTGTGGATTTTTCTCTAGGCATCCTAACAACATTAAAGTCCCCTCCCACAAACCGCGGAGCTGTCCATCTCCTCCTAGCTATCAACAACTCCCACAATCCCTCCTCTCCACATCCCCAACTGGGCCATAAACTCCTGAAAACATCCATTGTGAACCATCATCCTCCAAAGCAAACAAGAGAGAGATAGGTGGCATCCCCTTCCACCTGTCAACCTGTGAGACCCACCTTTTATACCAAAGAACCACAATCCCCACCGAAATAACCTCCACATCAACCACCTCCCATTCCCAAACTTGCCTCCCCAAAGACTTCTCAACACCCTATATGTAGAACAGCCAACTTAGATTCTTGCAAAGCACACCACATGCGCCTCCCATTTGCGCATCAAAACCTTCACCACCTTCCTTTTGTTTGGGTCGTTCAATCCCCGAACATTCCAAGACACGATTTTGAGCTTCCTAAGCACACAATGTCTTCCCCCCTCTCCTCCCAACCTTTCTCTTCTCACTTCCACCTCGTCTCCTCCCCTCATAGTTCACATAGGAAATGAGATTTTTAAGCTCTCTCTCTCCATTTCAGCACTTTTCGTATGATTCACCAGTGCCCACTCATCATCTACCACTTGGATCATCTCATGGACTTGCTTATCATCTCCTGCACGTCAGTCCTAAAAAATTGTGCCCCTTCAATGCATTCCATAAACCACTTCCCGTTCTTGCCTTCCATTTTTGTGGTCCTCTGCAGTTCCCTGATTGCTCCCAGTGGAGAGGCAATTCCAGCAGTTCCACTATTTTCCCACACTGATGGTGGGAGATCCAAAACAGAGTCACCCTCAGCAACGGTCCTATCCTCATTACTATCCGGCAGAAAAACATCCCTTCTCCAGTCATCAGAAGAACCATGACCATCTCAAGATAAATGTGGAATTTAGTTTGCTCAGGTGCATCTTGATACCTGGGACAACATCATTAACTGGGCTTAGAGGTAAACACCTGCCCAAGGCTTGTGAGGAAGCCCTATAAAGAAAGACTTTCATTTTGTTTTCATCATTATATTATGTTTATCATGAGAAATAAAAGTCAGTTTCAATGGATATATGGATGTTAGTACCGTTAAACGTTAATGCCAAGATTTTTAATCTGTCGGATTTCAAGCTTCATCTCTTGGAAGATTTCTTGTTTTTTCTGCTAATAAGTGTCTTCAGGGAGATTTGTCCAAATAAATAAATAAGTTTGAGTTATAAATAAATAGATACACATTCATGAAGTTTTCTTGCATTTATGGCCAGCTTGTCAGTTAAGTTTATGAGTTATGAAACTGAATTTTCAACGATGCTCAGTTTATATATATTTATTTAATTTTGCAATTATTTGTTGGAATAGATTTTACAACTAACATGTTGATGTATTAAAAGGGGAAAAGAATAAGGAGTAAATTATTACCAACTTATTAAAGTTATAGGAGTCTAAGCAGAGCTGTAGAAGTAATTTAATACTTGGTTGCTCAGAGTTAAAGTGACCTTTTTTTGAATCAATACATGACATGTCATCCTTAATGGTAATTTTAGCTTCTTAATTTCTATTTAGAAGGGGCTGAAATTAGTAGACTTATACTTGTGTGACTTTAACTATTTCCTGTGATATTATGACTTTCAACCAAGTGAACAAAGTTTATTTCTTTTCTAATTCAGCATATATCTGCTTTACTAGTGTTACCTAGTGTTAAAAGTTCATTAAATTAGTGTTTTACTAGCTATTGCACAAAAATTATGCACAGAATCAGAACATAGTATATTTAACCTCCATTTGTTTTGTTACAAATGTTTACGTGCATATATTGTAGAAGTGGGTCTTATGGTTTGACATTAATTTGCAGACAGTTCGTTTTAAAAATGAACTTGAGCGGAACACAACTACTAATCTTGGATATCCGAATGCTAAGATTTATAAATGTGAAGATGAACGGTGCCCTCGACCTATGTGCTACAAGTATGTTCGTCTTTAAGAAATGTAATGATTACTTAACAGCGTACTTTGGAACTTTAGTCTAATGTACAAAATATCTGCAGGGCGTATGGAAGTGAGAAGGAAGATAGTCCCTTATGTGATGTGCCTGGATTTGAAGAGTGTAGGATGAAACTGCTGAGACATGTGTCTTTTGTTGATTGCCCGGTAATAAGCTATCCCTGGGAATTCTCTTTTATGCATAAGGTGTAATTTTTAATTTTTATTTGTTCGTGAACCCAAATTAACCCAAGTGATACATTTTATTCCCGTCTTCCCAATATTATATTCAGACTTGGCCTGTACATGAAAGTAACTTTAGAGCTACATCCAAACATGACATTTCACTTTATTGTGTAGACTCTTGTGAAATGTACAACTAATTAATCAAACTGTACGCCTTCCTTAATCCTCTTTCACCTTGTGAGGCTTGAGGTAGCAGACCCCCTCCCTTCCTTCCTCCCTCCCTCTCTTTTTTCCCTTCTTCTTAGTTTTACTTTCAGGTACTTTAAATCACTAAAAGAGAGTAGTTACGACCATGAGTGTTTGTTCTCAAAGAGAGTAGGAATTTCTTAAAAAAAATATGTAGACATTGTAGGTTGATCTAACTTTCACTACTTGATTTTTTTTTTTCATTTATTTCCTATAGGGACATGGCATTCTCAAGTCTACTATGCTCAATGACGACACTGCAATTATGGATGGCGCATTACTTCTGATAGCTGCCAATGAGGATTTCCCCCAACCTCAAACTGTCGAGCATCTAGTTGGTGTTGATATTATGAAACTCAAAGATATTATCATCGTCCAAAATAAAGTCGATCTGGTTCCGCAACATGTAGCCATCCGTCAGAAGGAGCAGATTCTAAAATTTGTCCAGGTCTGTACGTTTGTCTTTGAATGTCATTCAATTCCTGCTTTTTAAATTTATAGTATTGAAATAATGTTGGGTTTTCACATTGCAGGGCACTGTTGGTGAAGGTGCACCAGTGGTACCAATTTCTGCTCTGCTGAAGCATAATATTGATGTCGTGTGCGAGTATATTGTTAAAAAGATACCTGTTCCGCAAAGGAATTTTGTTGCACCACCGCGTATGATCATAATCCGATCCTTTGACGTCAACAAACCTGGTTACGAGATTGAAGAAATAAAAGGCGGTGTTGCTGGTGGAAGCATCCTCAGGGTATATGCTTCTTCCTTGTTACTCTAAAGACACAGAGAGACATGTGGAATACTGAAGTAGCTGAACAATATCAAATCAGAGTCTTATTTTGGCAAATTTGTTCTGTGCAGGGTGTTTTACAGGTGAACCAGTTGGTTGAAATTCGACCAGGGGTTATAGTAGGAGATGATAATAAAAATTTCAAATGTACCCCCGTGTATACTAGGATTGTCTCTCTTTTTGCCGAAGAAAATGAGTTGCAGTTTGCAGTGCCAGGGGGTTTCATTGGCATTGGCACTACAATGGATCCGGCATTAACTCGTGCTGATAGGCTGGTTGGTCAGGTTCTTGGGGCGGTCGGATCCCTGCCTAAAGTTTACACTGAATTGGAGGTAATAGATTATGCTTCTATACCTGTCCATTTGCGCTGATTATTCCTTGCTTAGGGAAGTACTTTGCATCAAGCATTCCTTTTAATCAATCTCTTAAGAGCTTGTAAAAATCTTTTTTTCTTCCTGCCCCCCCTGTTGCTTGCGTGTTTTCTTTGGGGGTTCCGGAGGTTGAGGTTTTTGGAGGATGACATAATGACACTAATTGGATAAGTCCGTTCCATTTTGATTTATAACTGCAATTCAAACATTATAATATTGTTCTGCAAACATGCAAAATGGTCTTATTTGCTCCTGCTAAGAGCTTCACGCCATAATGTCATCCCCTTTTATTTGTTAAATTCTGTCATTTGTGTTTCCGGTTTTGAACCTCGTGGTCTATGGTCAGGTTAAAATCAGACATGTCCTGTCCCGACTTCTGGGTGCGAAGCAGGGAAGGGTCTCAGAGCTCGTGAAGGGAGAGGTGTTGATGGTGAACATTGGGTCCATCTCAACGGGAGCTCATGTAATCTCCATAAAGAATAATGTGGCAAAGCTGCGACTTATCAAACCAGCGTGTGCCGAACCAGAAGCGAAGGTTGCACTGAGCAGGAGGATTGAGAAGCACTGGCGTCTCATAGGCTGGGGTGAGGTTATAGCTGGAACCACCCTAGACCTAGATGGCCCACCAATGCTTATTTGAGTTACAACAGCAACAGAGTAGTTAGTGAACATAAGAAAGTAGTAGTAGTAAAAGGAGAATATTGTTTGAGGGAAGATGTGGGAGGGCAGACAACTGCTGGGAACAATATGTTTTTGTTTGGTGGAGAAGAAAACATGGTTCTGGGAACAATATGTTTTTGTTTGGTGGAGAAGAAAACATGGTTCAGAATTTTTTCATTATCTTTTTAGTAGTGTCATGTTTCTGGTGGTTATCTCCCTGAGCAGGTGTTTGGAGGAACCTCCATTTTGTCCCTAAAATGCAGAAAAATGTCTCATTCATTGGTCATTCACCAGAAATTTCTTTAGGCTTAGACATAAGTGGGTTTAGTATTTGCTTTGCTTAGACACAAGGGCATACAGATGATTTTACATGGTGACAAAGCTTTGACACAATGTCCAAATTATAATAGGGGCGTAAGCGTCACATGAGCAAAACATTGTGGGCATCATGCCAAAATTTTATTTAGAAGACAATAAATTAAATGGATCAGTCTGTATTTTTCTTATAAAACAAATCTCACTTTTAATGCTATTTGTCATAATACGACTACTAGATAAAATATGTTTATAAGAAGAAGATTAGATAAATATGTGAGATTTGAAATTATTTGTGCGATTAATTAATTAAAATGGAAGATTGATGCTTTGAATTTCGATGCTGTGTATGAATCACTACCTATTAATTATTTGAATTTTTTGTTATGCACGATTTTAATGCTCAAAATTGGAATCTTATTTTTTTCTTGAAACAACCATCATTCTTAACATTTTTCATGAAAATTTTATATAAATTGAAGTTTTAAATTAATGATCCATAACCACGGGGACATTAATCAATCCCTTTAGGGAAGAATACAAAAAGGAGAATTAATCCTTACATTTTATGTGACAAAAATTGCTCTTCCAATTATATTTACATGGGACATGTTTGGTATGCATTTTATTTTTAACCGTTTATTTTACTAATTCCAAACAAAATAACTCTTTGTTATAGTGTGTTTTGAATAGTAATCGAAAGTATTTTTTGATAATGTTCATTTGTTATAAGATTTTTGAAACGAAAAACATAAAAACATATTTGGTAAAAAAGTGATATAACTTTAAAAAATATAATGATTAATTTAAAAATATAAAATTATAATGATTACTTTAAACATATCATTTAAAAATATAAAATTTATTATTCATCACTACCATACTAAACGGTACAATACAAAAACATATAAACATATTATATTGGTGTTTCAATTTTTGTTTCAATTTTTGACAATTATTTATGAAAAGTTTAGACGCCACAAAATAAACAATTTTTACTAAACACTGTTTTTTCAGTGCAAAAACATGAACACTTAATTATTATTATTTTTTTTGGTAATGTATTGTATTAGTGTGACACAAGGGTAAGGCACATATTTTATACCGAGTATAATATTTCGGAGAAAAAAAAAGATTGCGTTTTAATGGGAAGATATAATACGGTCAAAATAATAAATGGAAAATTCAATCTGAAAAAGACGACATCATAATGTGTGAACATCGAAAATATCACTCGACTCTATTAATGAAGTTTTCAATCTCAACCTTACCCTTTGAAGCAATATTACTCCACGCCACCTAGAAAGGTTATGTCGAAGGAAATCCAATCACATGGGAACACGTAGTGAGGGGGTGACGTTGAGTCCTCTCTATTGGGCTGTGATTTATCAGATCTGACAGTAGGTGTGTTGTAGACCTTCTCTTGCCGTTTGAGACCATCCGACGTGGCGTGCTGTTAGAGAAACACGAGTGTTGTGATATATTGAAAGTTTCAAGAAATTTATTTAGCCATGAATCGCCAGAAATATGCGTCGACAAAACGACCATCTCTAACTATCGGGTCGGGTTAAAATTTTGGTTCAGTTTCCTCGGGCCATTCTAGTTCTAGTCTTATTTGTGTCATTGTGTGTATATATATGTATATATTATTTTTATTTTTATTTTTGTTCAAAAAGGTTAGACAATGTTTTTGACTGAATTCAACAACAAAGCAAATTAACAAATGGCAATGATTTTTACGGGACTTAAAACTATTTAAACTTGATTAATTTTATTAAATTAATTAAAGTCAGCCATGAGTCGGTCACGTTTATCACGATGTTGAATGGTATATTTTGATAGAAATGCTGATGTAGAATCAAGCAATTGAGAACAATTGACCAAATATCCCGTTACAGCATAAACAACTTTAATTTGACCCACTTTTTTCAATGTAATTTTTGTTATAAAGAGAGTCTTCTATGATTAAAAAAAAACCCTTTTCATTTGCTATTGATTTGAAATAATTTTTAATCTGCAAAAAGCTAACCAATTTTTGTAATAAGTCACTTAATTTAACTATTAATAAGGAGAGCGCATAATTTTTGTCACAAAATTACACTCGGTATGATCTTACTTTTCTAGAATTTTATCTTCACAATTTAAAGTTACTTGATATGACATGTGTATTAAAAGGATTAATTTCATCCAAATCGGATAAATATGCTATGATATAATTGTGCAAGCTTCACTTGCCAAAATAAATATACTCATAATTGTGCCATCAACGAAATTTATGACACCAAACTAAACGGTGCAATTTGTTATCAATTTTATTTTAATTTCCGAATTTAAAATAAAAAAGACTAACTGAAGTGAAGAGCGTGTTTCACAAACTCTGCATATGGGAACGGACTTAGTATTCCACTATTTCCCGTAACCATGATGTGATTTCGATATGGGAACGGACTCAGTATTCCACTATTTCCCGTAACCATGATGTGATTTCGATATACGTGTATATATATATATATATATATATGTATACACGTATATATCGTTATCTCTAACACTGCTGGTTTCCTTCCAAACGCTCCCAACGTTACCGTGCACAGTCGAGCACGTTACCGCCATCGATAAATCAACAACCCCTTCTATCCATTTCCCATATTACTCAGAACCCAATCAGTAAGCCAGTGTAATCTGAAAGTTTTAGAGAGAGAAAGATATTCATTTTTAGAGATAGAGAGAGAGACATGGGAACAAAGGGAAGAACAGTCATGGAGGTCGGAGCTGATGGGGTGGCCCTCATCACCATCATCAACCCTCCTGTCAATTCTCTCGCCATTGATGGTACTCTTTTTTTCCTTTTCAATATGAATTTACAATAGTCAGTAAAGCACAATTCACACATACACACACATATATATTATTATATATATGTTTGTGTTTATGTACATTTCTAATCAGATCTCATCAACCTGTCTTCAATTTTGCTTCATACTAACCTTGATTTCATTTTCGTTTTTCTGAGTATTAAGTTTCTGATATATGTTTTTTTAGTCGGTGTAGATTATGGGGTCTCTCTGTAATTTTCTATACAGTTTTATCGCGAGCTTGTTCTTCGTGTTGAAGTCAATTTTCACTTTATGGTTGAAAACTCATCATAACATTGCCCTAAATTTGTTTCATTTGCAACAATTTGTTTATGAGGAAATTGTGGAGATCAAATGTGGAGTTGGAGAATCTCATGTAAATTGAGATTTTACTAAATTTTTTACCTGTGTAATCCTTAGATGGGAGGCTTATAAAATGCACAATCTGAAATAAGAAGAGGAACAGTGGAGCATGTGAACTATAGAACTGCCTGTTGGTTAGCATTTGACAAAACTCTATTCGTTATTAAGAACAAAACTCAGAAAAGTAATATGAGGTTTCAAATACAACAAATAGTACTTATAAAATTCTAACGGATGACCACTAATTTAGTTGATAAAAGGAGGCTGGGTGTCAATACCCATGAATCCTAGTTGAGGGATGCAATTATAGTTTACGGGGAGGGTGCGTATGTGCCTGTAATTGCAGTTAGTCATACATTCAAATTGTTGGAACCAAATGGGCATTGATTTTCAGTCTACTTGATTGAGGCATAATTGTTGATTTTGCCACCTCACATGAATCCTAGTTGAGGGATGCAATTATAGTTTACGGGGAGGATGCATATGTGCCTGTAATTGCAGTTAGTCATACATTCAAATAGTCGGAACCAAATGGGGATTGAAATTCAGTCTACTTGATTGAGGCATAATTGCTGATTTTACCACTTCACATATAGTTAGGTGAAGTAATAATGCGGTGGATTATTTGCCTAGTTAGAATGGATTATTTGCCTAGTTAGAATGCTATAGCTCATCGAACATGATTTTTTTGCCAAAAATGTCTTTCATTCTGCCCAAGGATATAAATATCTTGTATATACAGAAAGCAGAGCATGATTCAAACCCTTTATACCACCATGTTGTATCAAACAAGCAAATTATTTCCATTGGTAAAGCATTATTTTTAAATTCATTTGATTTCTTCACTATATTGTTGTTGTTGTTCAACATACATATAGGAGCTGTATGTCTATCTTTTCATTTCTTGTTGATGTATCATAGTTATTGAGGTTCCAAATTTTCTTGATTTGTTTAAATATTTGGATATTGTTCAAGTGTTCAGCTGGATGTTTGATTTTCATTGAATTTTGTCAAATAATTTTGGCTTTTGTTTTTCTTTTCTTTCTAGATAACTGGAATTTCCCCATATTATAGGCTGAGAATATGACCGTTGTAATATGTTATAGATTCTTGCTGGTGAGACTTTGGGGGAGGTTTTTAATTATTATTCTTATATTTTTTTTTATGATAAGTAAGATTTCATTAAAGGTGCTCAAGAGGGGAGCGCCCCCAAGAGAATCCACCATTAAAAGATCTCCTAGTTCTCTCACACCACAAGCCCCACCATAAACAAAGGGGAGTGGCCCTTCAAGCATCTTTGGCTCGGCTATCCACTATACACCCTCTCCAAGCCTCGATCATATCCACCATAGATCTTGGAGATACCCAACACATACCAAACGCAGCCAAGAACATAAATCAAACATCCCTTGCCATTGGGAAATGTAGAAAGAGGTGGTTTTGTGATTCCTCTGCCTTCTTGCGCATGTAATACCAGGTCACCACAATCTGTTTTCTCCTTCTAAGATTGCCTAAGGCGAAAATCCTTGACATCTGACGAAGCAAAAAAGGCGCTTCAACGGGGCTTTCGATCTCCAAATGGCCTTCCAACTTAAGGTGGGACCCGGAATCTGGAAGAGGCTTTGGTAGAAAGATCAAACCTCAAAGATCTCTCTTGGGAAACCCATCCAAACCATCTTATCCATCCCCTTCCCCCTCACGACTTGTTTGTATAGCAAAGCTAAGAACTCTGCTACCTTCGCAAGCTCCCAGTCATGGAACTCCCTCCGAAATTGCATGTCCCAAGTCATCCTTCCGCTATCAAGTCGATAACAGTCAACAATCAAGGCATGTCTATTCGTAGCTGCCTTGAAAAGCCAAGGGAATCTGTGAGCCATAGCAATGTCCCTGCACCAAAGATTCTCCTAAAATTTGACATGTCTCCCACTCCGGACTCTGAACCGAATGCGTTTGG